AGATAATGCTTAGGAACAGATATTATGTTATCTGTATGTATTCACTGTTTTTTTTTCTCGGGGTTCAAAACTTTGAATTTTTTTATTCCAAAACAGATTCTGTTTTTATATTTAACTATTATGTGTGACTAACTACAAATTTACTCTACACGTAGCGTAGTGCGAGAATGTTTACCGAGCGAAGCGTGGAAATTATAAGTAAAAAACTTCTTTTTCTGACATAAATAACAATTTTTAATTGCAAATGTTTCCGAGACGAACTCATCTCATTGTTAGGCACAACATAACTGACAAAATATCGTAAATACAAAAGATGAGACGAGTTCGTCTCGAAAACGTTTGAAATTAAAAATTATTATTTCATGTCAGAAAAAGAAGTTTTTTACTTATCATTTCGATTTTAAACTGGCAAAGTACGTAAAATAAATTTACATGGTATATTATTTGTTGTATATACCAGTATAACTCTCAACACTGTTAGATAAGGGAGTGTATTCAGCGGAGTCAATTTCTTGAATTTTTCGTGGAATTGGATTAGAATCAGTATTAAAGATGGAAACTTAATGTAAAAACGTTTCCAAATAGTCAAAAACAAATTAAAACAATTGACAGCCAAAGAACAAAATAACAACTTCTAAACTCTTTGCCGATAAATGAAACGAAAAAAAAAACTTGGAGCAAAAAAGAAACAAATGAAGTTGCGAGCAAAAGCGACACAAGTAGCCATTGAGCGGACAAAAAACATTTTTCTCTTTTTTTCTCGCTACTGGTCGCAGAATCGCGTTTTATTTTGATTTGTTAGGGATCCGCAATCGGCCGCGAAAATGATCCACAGACAGTTCTTATAAAGAATTATATATACTCTTCTCAGAATTAGATTCACTAAAAACGTGAATAATATTGTACCATGCCGTAGTGTCGAGGCAGATATAGCAATATAGAATATTCGTGTGTTCAATGAGTCAATGGTAAAATTTAGGACAAATATTTCTCAAGAAGTTTGCATGCCGCGAGTGACATTTTTCGACTCATCTATGGCTCTAACTTAACCAAAATCATAGAAAAACGAAATCTGAAAATCAGCTGGAAAAGATAGATATTTAGAACGCATCCACCAATGCCAAAATACCCACTAAGTTGTTTGGAAAATGTAACTCGATAGTTTATCTGGGCCACTCTGTTCTTTCGTCAATGGACATTGTTGATTTGAACGAAAAAATGAAAACAAAAAACTTACCGGACATCGGAATGTTCGTTTACCCAACAATAAATCATATATATATAAACAACCATCACTACCACCACCGATAATTTGATCACCGCAATTCGAGAAAGCCAGTGAAAAGACGCAAAAACTGGATTTTGATGGTTGTAAATATAAAGGTTTTAGCTGATGTGACGTTCCATTGATTCTACTCAAGTGAACTGAATGGATGGAATTAGAAAATATCACGATTAAACCCAAAAGAAGAATAATTATTCAATGAAGCAGCGGACTTGTCGTCATACGCGTAGATGTAGCATTTCACTTGATTTAGCAATTCGTTAGTTGCTGACACATTTTATATGCGAATCACTCGATATTTCACGTGAAATCTTAATATTTACGTTTCAAAATTCCACATTTACGCGTGTGACTACAAGTGTGCTGCTTCATTGAGCATTGAAATTTTTTTCGAATAAATAGAAACTTACGACATGACGACCAAGTCGAATATACAAAATACTCGCTACCCGGGCTGAATGCAATATCCAATATGCACCAATTGACATCTTTAGCAATAATTTCGTTTTGACATTTGTACCGCATTGTCGTTGAATCATGAATACGAATCATGTTATCTGCAATTTTGAAACGCAAAATAAAAGGATTAATGATGAACGAAAGTGAATGTACGGTGGGATACATTGTACTCGCATATCATAAGTAAAGTTTTGGACCACTGACCTTGACTTGCTGTTACAAAATGCTTTCCATTTCGTGAGAATGTTCCACAAAATACTTTGGCATCGTACGTCATAACCGCCTCTTTGCAATTTGGGAAATAATTGTTACTAAGCTTGCAACGTTCTGGCTGCAGAAATGAACCTTGCTTGTTGCCAATCCCATTCTAAAACAAATAGGAATTTTTAATGATTTTGTTTTTTTTTTACCAAGTTTTACAAAAAGTGTACTCGTCGGATGGCACTTTTACCTGTCTATTTTGAAGCATCTTAACGATTGACCACTTGGCCACGGGGCTTGTGTCATCTGTACCAAATCCAGAACTATATTTGATACTCTGATAGATGTAGTTTTTCTACAAAAGTATACAAAAATATAAAACATTATACAAAAATTATAATACACACTTTACACACTCACTTTCAGTGTTTCCAAATTAGGCTTAGCCTTGATTTGTGGCATACAAAACCGACGTGAACTGAAGGCTGTATTGTCAAAGTTGAATCGATTCCTATACGCACATAAAATGATTGTAAAAATACATGGAAAACATAAGTTTTTTTTTTTTAATTTGGAAATCACCAGCATTTCCTAGTACAATAATTCAAAACGTAACACAACGAAAATGCATAAGAAAAATTCAAATTATACCAGACTATGTATAATTATTATTTCTGTGGGTGTTTGTCGTCTTATTCTTAACTTACGTATTGATAAAGCGCTGCAGCAAGAAACAATTGTTAACGCAAATACATCCATTACCAAGCGTATGTAAACGGTCGAATTAAGGCCCGGATTTGTGTGTAGTTCCAGTCATTTTTAACGTCACAATGGAAGTAGAAAAAAACGATAAAAACAAATCAATTAGAAGGATATAAAAACGATTATGAATCAATTGATAAGAAAATAACAAATCACGTGTGAAACAAGGTTATATTAGGGTGAACATTTAAAGTAAAATTTGGGGGTTAATTTGACTACAGTTACTACGAATTTCAACGTCATAACGAATTTCAACGTCATAACGAATTTCAACACCTCGAGTATCATCCAACTGTACGCTTCACTTGAACTAGGTCCATTTATGACTTTGGTAAATATTGGTGTAGATATTGAAATTGACCAACTGACTGAGAAAATCTTACATACAACAACTTACCTACGGGTTTAAACCGTATTACATCGTGTATTTGGACACACATTTTAATGTACAAAGCCACAAAAATCAAGCTTTGAAATTAACTAATCGTTAATGTTTTATTTTATTCTCTTAATCTACGCTCTACTTTTCATCGACAGCATTTGATTAGCCGACTCGATTGGTCATCTCGACATTTTGGCCATATCCTTTCTGGTGGTAACACAAATGATTCGTGCACATTCAAGTCGAAAACCATACAACGGCCTAGAATGAACGAATTGAACTCGAAATTGAAATACAATAAAACATGAATGTGATTGTATTGTGTAGATCACATACCTCTGTACAAGATGCACTTCGCCGCACAGATGTCACGATGCCAAGTAACAGTAGAAGCGTTTTGATCATTCATTGGGCTTGAGTGCCAGTTTTTCTGGAAGGCTATTTTCTTTGACCCCAATAACCCAATTCCTGTATCATTTGCGTCGTAATGTAATCGCTGCCATGATTGTGGTTTGGCCTTACGATTTTTGACACGAATCTTGCAAATACTTGTGTCACCAATTTTATCAAAACCTGGCAAATCGGATTCCGCTTCCGGCTGTTTGGTTACTTTACGGCTGCGATGGCCTGCAACTCGACGTCGTTGACGTAGTTCACGCCGTCGTATGCGTCGATTGTACCGTCTCACTGCCTGTTCGGTATCCAATTGCTCTGGATTGTGGCTTTCACGCTCACTTCGACGCTTTTCCCGGTGCTTCCCAGGTCTTTCGGCTCTAGTTTAATTTGCTGTTGGCTTTTGGCTGGCATTTTGTTTTCGATCACGTTGCTTGCGCCGTCTGCTTCGATCAGTCACGATAAGCGATGGGAGTCTCACATCCTTGTGTGGGCGACAATCTTTGCACACTTTGAATCGGTCACTTTTTGTGCTTCTTGGAAATCGCCGCAAGCAATTGGCACAGGTTTGTGATGTATACGGCTCTGGTATAAGCACAACATCCGTTTCGCCGTCCTTTTTTAGGCTAACTATAAACTTTCGCTGATCCGGTGTTCGTTTTGTTCTTTTCACACCGATTTTCGAATCTGATGGGAACGCCGCATCACCAAGGAACACAACTCCTGTCTCATTCTTTGTTATGTGTTGAGCCATCAAATCCATTTCGCGATTAGACTCGATGTACTTGTGCAACGATAGCTGTGCGTATTTTCTTCTGGCGT